AGCAGAGATATTATTTCGAAGTTTCGAGGACGTGATCTTTTTGAAAAGTAATCCCGTCCTCAAAGGGTTAATTCATTAATAATTAATTAAAACTAACCTCGGATTCGGATTTCCTACCCTCGATTACCCTTTGGTCAAGTTTTATAGAAAACAAACATTGGGCGTGGATGTTTTTTTGACCTTTTTGTTCGTTCGACCTGGGACAAACCCACAAACCCACAAGTAACGTTCGTCGGTTGGATTCACTTGACCCTCGACTGTATCAGACAGAAGTATACAAGTCTCATCCATGGACACCCAGTTATGAAACTGCTGATTAAGCGAGAACTTATCACATATGTCGGATTGACTGAATTTTTATTCTGAAAAATTGAATTGGTTGAAAATTCAATAATAAAAGCACGAGAATCGAATACTTAGCCAACGTTTTTTATGATGTTTCACCTTCCACTATGACAAAAACTTCTTTTATTTCATATAACCGTTCCTACACTCGAGAAAAAATTATTTTCTCAAAAAAAAACCTTTTCTCCTGAACCCAAAAAAATTCAATTCAAAATTTCGAGAAACTGACCTCAGATTCGGATTCCCCGACCCCGATTTACTTTAGTCAACCTTGAAAGAAAATTTTCTAAAGTGAATGTTTTTTTTTGACCCCGATGCAGACACACACACAAACTATTCTTTTTCATATGACCCTCCCTACAGTCGAGGGAATATGAAAATTCCATATATAGCTAGCTATTTAGCATTCTGTGAAGCTCTAGTTTTTATGAAATTAATTGATATTCAAAAAGAACATTGTCCTCATTAAACACTAAAAGTTATTTTAATGGATGGTAATGGTGTTTTGGCATCCACGTCGTGCTGGTGTTGCTTCACATTTTGATGTTTCAAGTAGAATTCCATGTTTTAGTGTATCAAAAAATCTTCTTTATGCTGATGGTATTATACGAGAAAAAAATTGAAGATTTATTAACTGCAAAAGCACTCGAAGAAAATCAATATATTGAAGTTATAGGCGATAGTGGAAATGTTTTTGGCTTAGCTTATAATGTAACTGGTTCTGTAAAAAATGCTGTTTATATTAGTGTTGGACATAAAATAACATTGATAACAGCTTGCAATACATTCAAATCAGTAACAAAATATCGTAATTATGAACCAATACGACAAGCTGATTTGCTTAGCCGAGAAATAATTGAAAAAATGTCATAAATTGAACTTTTTAAAAAATGTTTCTCTATATCTTGAATATCGTTGTATAAAACCTAATCTGACTTTGGATTTAAAAATAAACTTTTATTAATATATGAAAAGTACACGCGTTAGACTCTTCAACCGTTTTTTGTCTTCATACTTTTTATTCAAGACTCTTTTCGAAACAAAAATCATTTTTACGTTAATATAAAAGAACATGAAAACAGCAGATAATTTGAGTAACTTTGTGTACGTTGGCATGTCTTACTCAAGTGTATATCTGTAGAAGAATGATAAAAAATAATTCTGATTCCAAGATCACGTAATCTGTCTGTGCGAACTTATTTCATAATAATAATATTCCATCGTATAAAAGCTATACGTGATACTGCACAGTTTTATTTAATAACTTCAAAGCTATTCTGAAAAGCAAAGGTATGTTGCAGAACTTGGAAAAATTTTCAAGGACTAAAACGAAATTGAATCTTTTAAGAAGGCCTGATGCGAACTGAAAAGCTTTTTTCACATATCTTAGAGCTTCATAAAATGTAAGCATATCGAATGTCTGTGCGATATTTTTAAAAAGGTTTATACGTCGCCTGAATTTTCCAAGCACTGCTTCAACTCATATTCAATCGTTTTCCATTATTTATTCATTTCGCATTGTATTCTTGTCAACCCAAAAAGTTCATTGATACCATTTATTATTTAACTCAACTAGTATCTAAATGGTATCGAGAAATGAACTGCTCTCGATTATGGAGTTGAAAATCTAAACCGCATATACTTGATATTTGGCTCTAAAGGAATTGCTTGTTTATCAAATAATACAAAGACATATACATTCTGCATGTAACAAAGGTTTTCATATTGATAACAACAAGAGAGAGTTTATTTTGAAACCTCAACACTATAGTAAATTCATTCTCTGTCGATTTCTTCCTGAAAAACGTTTTTTTCAATGATCAAGCCTAGTAAATCCTTATTATCTCTATGTGTTTGACAGACATCCTTTAAGTAAATCTTTTCATGCATTTCTCTTTCTTAACTGAGAAATATCTGTTGAGAATACATCCTCTTCTATTCGTTAACTTGTGCATTTTATACGATTGCACGAAAACAATCAAAAATATATTTAGCGATGATTAGTGTTTGATAATTCAAATGGTATTGTATCTAATTGATTTATTCAGCCAAAATGTCTCAACAATTAGAGTTTCGGTATGAGTATTAGCAGTCTTATCTCTCGCACTCCACACTCTTCTGACATTTTGCCGAAGATCGAAGCCTTTTAAGCACACAGCATGAAAAAAATCTAGTACTATACTTAGATTTGTGTTATATATTAGTATTCGGTTTAAAAAGAACGTTGTCTCGCTAAACCTACCAATGGCAGAAACACTTCTCATTATTGACATCTGTAAAAAAAAGTTCGGTAATATATAATGTTTGCATTACTAATTGATCAAGTTCCTTTGTTATCTCGTATTGATATCTATTAATATCGAAATCGTTTCGTCGAATAATATTCGATGATAAATTTAGGTGTGTGGCATTATTTTGGAGATTCTACTAAACAAAACGATTATAATTTCTCTATGAAGTTTTCTTTTTTACAATGTAATCATACTCCTAGTATTCATATCATAGATTTCTCTAAACAATTATAATCCTAAATCTCAATGTTCAATTCAAATACAAATTTCTCAGAAATTTTCTACATTTCAAATGAAGTAATTATAGCTTCATAAGTTCTCTAATCAAATAAATATAAATTGTAACAGCTCTCTATAAACCATGGATCCGAGATATAATATTTTTATCGATTCGAAATTCCGAATGGCCCTATTATGATATCTGTGCTTTATATCTTACTTACATCTGAAATAGCTATTAAATTAGCAAAGAAGCAGATCGTTATTTATCTTCGAATAAGGGTGTGGGTGTGGGTAGGTGTGGGTGTGAGTGTGGGTGGGGTGTGGATGTGGGTGTGGGGTGGTGTGTTCGTGTGGGTGGGTGTGGGTATGGTTGTTTACAAGGCAATCAAAAATCCAAACGTACACCCACACCCACATCCACACCCATCCACACCCAAACCCACATTCACACCCACACCCCACACCCACACTCACACGCACATCCACACCCACACCCACACCCACGCTCATACGCACATCCACACCCACGCCGACATCCACACCCTCAAGAATATGATTGGTCAATAACCCGAGCTCGAAAATCCCTGATCAGCTAGTTTTCTAGGGCGACAGAATGTGATTGACACAAAAGCCCGCAGCGGAAAACATATGGTTGAGTCATTTTTTCGGGCGAAAGAATATGATTAGCGGATAGACCGCGCTCGAAAATCGCTGATTGGCCAGTTGTTTAGATTGAAACAATATAATTGGTCGAAAGCTCGGGGTCGAAAACTCGTGATTGCCCGAATTGTCAGAGTCAAAGTCAGATGTCGCGATATCATGTTTTCTTTGACCTCTTTGTTATTTTGACCTGACACAAACCCACAAACTCTTTTAAGTTTTTTTGCATGATTCTTCCTTCAGTCGAGGGAATATCTTTACTTTCTCACAACACCATTTCCTCAACCCAAAAAACTCAATTCAAAATTTTCAAAAACTAACTCCAGATTCGGATTCCCCGACCTCGATTAACCTATGCCCAGTTTTAGAGAAAATAATAATTTTTAATAGTTAATTAACAATCAGTTAATAATTAGTTAATTAATAATTTATTAAAACTAACCTTAGATTCGGATTCCCCACCCTCGATTACCCTTTGGCCAAGTTTTGAAGAAAATAATAATAATTTATAATTAATTAATGATCAGTTAATAATTAGTTAGTTAATAATTAAATAAAACTAACCTCAGATTCGGATTCCCCACCCTCGGTTACCCGTTGAACAAGTTTTATAGAAAATAAAAATTGGACGTGGATGTTTTTGTGACCTTGATGTTCTTTTGACCCGGCACAAACCTACAAACCCACAGACGTTTTTTAGTTTTTTCCGTATCAACCTCCCTTCAGTCGAGGGAACAAGAAGGTTGACTTACCTATGACAAGGATAATTAAAGAGAACTAGGTTACATTTTGGTCTACGATCTAATTGATCCACAAATAGAGCTTTATCTTCCACTCACACTGATGATACTTCGAGGTTTTCAGAGATGGAGAACTCGAATGTGTACTGCACTTTAACCGAAATACTATTAGTTGTGCAGTCACCAATAGAAATGAAGTAATACGAAAAATGACTTTGTTAGGGTAAATCAAGGTGCAGAGTTGAAACTTGACCTTAATTCGGTCCCATTTCCTATTGGTTTGGCAACGCGCAATACAAATCAACATTTTCAATGGTAGATTTCACAATATAATTTTGATATTCAGACAGTCTAGGATGATTGATTTGTATAATAGGCGTGTTACATGAGAAAGTTGGTATATGCTATCTTAAGAACGGCTGAACATATCGAGCTGTCCGCTGGTACTTAAGGGTTTCTCGACGTGCTCTCTCTTTTGTCTAGCGGACACTTTTGTCCAAAATGCTCGGAAGTAGGTTTTCTAGAAAACCGCGGTTTTGGAACCAATGGTCGCGAAAGTTTTTT